TTGTCCGATTTTGTTAATCACTTGTATGATTACAGACCAAATTGGACTCCACTCAGTCCTATTACCATTATTTATTATGATTATGATTATGAATTATTTACAATTTTTTACTAAACTGGTCATCCAAGATAACTTTAAAAGCTAAACTAGTTAGATGACCCAAATCCATCAAAATATTTATTACAGTACTAGTCCGAAACTGCACACAAGGTTATTTTCAAAGTAATTACAAGAGTAAAATATGGGCTAAAATATAGCAAAACGCCAATCATAGGCTTAATAGGCATACGTACATTCCTATGTATTGATTAATATAATATCACTATTTAGTGAGAAAAGCATATTTTCACTAGACAGCTCTATTTTGTTAATGTGCTTGTTTCTACGTATTTTATCAGCCTCTTGTAATAAAAGTGAGAATAGCAACGCCAACTAGAGGACCTCAAGATATTTTAGGATATTTGGAACACAAATATTCCAACTTTACTACAAATTATTACTTTTCATGTTCTTTCTTTTGCAAAGGGTTTCAAAAGGGTTTCATAAGAGTTTCCACAGGGTTTCTAAGGAGTTTCATAACGTTTCAAAAGGGTTTCCAAATTTGAAAAGGGATTCAAAGCGGTTTCAAAGCTTTTCAAACAGGTTTCGAAAGGGTTTCCAAACGGTTTCAAGAGTTTCGAAATGGTTTCAAAGGGGTTTCAAACAGGGTTTCCAAAGAGCTTCAAAAGGGTTAACAGACCCTTTACAGTCCGAAAGTGGACACCAAGTTATTTTTAGAGTAATTACAATTTATAGGCTAAAACATAGCAAAGACTACTATAGGCCCAATAGCCATACGTACATTCCTGTGTTAATTAACATATCACTTACTATTTAGTGAGAAAAGCATATTTTCACCAGAGTTCTCTTTTGTTATGTGCTTGTTTCTACTTATTTTATAAGTCTGTTGTAATAAAAGTGAGAAAAGCATCGTTTAAGGACCTTTAAGATATTTTAGGATGTTACAAATTATTTTTACTTTTCCTGTTCCTTCCTTTGTAAAGGGTTCAAAGGGTTTGAAAAGTGTTTCATAAGAGTTTCCAGGGGGTTTTTTAAAACCCCTTAAAAGGGGTTTCTAAGGGGGTTTCAAAGCGTTTCCAAAGGGTTTCAAAACGGATTCCAAACAGTTTTAAAAGAGTTTCGAAACGGAACTGTCCAGTCACAGTACTTTGAGTTATTCTGAATTGGTCAGGTACAAAATTACCTTCAAATTGAAGGAAACCTGAAAATAGTAGTTTAGAAAGATAGAAAAACACCAAATAGATAGTAATATCTCTAAAGAACAAGGATGTTCAAGGATAGAGAAGATTCACACAGATTACACACGACAACCTTGAAAATTTTAGGCATAGGTTTTTAACATGCGCAAACATTTGCAGAGATAAGTTGTGTATATAACTGCGATGATCAATCATGTCTTCATAGAGTGGTATGTAGTAGTCATACAGGGTGAATTTTTGGCTTCAGTTGATCTGCACAGCTTCAAAACCTCTCTTGATTAGTTTTTCTCAACCTGTGCCTATTTTCTTCTTAGGGCTAGGGCATGGTTTGTGTTCTTTATCTATTGTTTCATTTTGGCCAATAAGTATTATAAAGAACCTTGCAAACTGTAAAGGTTGCCCCTCTGGCTGTAACATGGTATAATGTCACAAGTCACTTTGTGATTATACCAGGGGGCTTTGTGGAAGAAATGATGGTGAATTTTAAGTTGGGTGAAATTTAATGAAACTGTCTTGAGTATGTTATTATGAGAACACAGATGTCTTCTCTGTAAGTACAACAGGAGACAACCAATTACACTTTACAATGTAAATCATTCAGTTTTTGAAATTATATATCTTTTCCTCTATGGCCAAGGGTGCCATGTCTAGGGTTCAGGTTAATATTTTCATCTACACTTAAAAAAGGGTGTGGGTCTGCCTAAGGTGTGACAATATCTTGAAAAAGATCAAAAAGTTTGTTTGGTGAAGAAGCTTCAATAAAACCTTTTGAGTTACTAGTTTATTGCATTTATGCCAACTGTTGTTGCTCCTTTCAAGCAAACATGTATGTCCTGTGAATTTCTGTTTTGCCTTTTGCAGTAAACTAAAGTTTTGACAAATTCTTGTTTCAGTGCTTTTTACAGGCTTTAATTTTACATAATTTAGCACATTTTTAACCACACCCAGTGGACAAATTATCTTGTGTCAGGTGACAGACAAAAATGCCATGTTTTTCTTAGTGTATTGCACCACAACACTATTGGTCATTGAACACATGAAGTTTCAGATTTTCTTAAATAGGATCCTCTTAAATCCTGTTAAACAGGTTCCACACAAAAATACCTTATTATAACACTTTATGTTAACTTTATATTACCTCTGAAAGCATCTGGATAGCAAAATATACGTCTTTTTCCCCCTCGCTCCCAAGTTAGATCATACAAATTGTAGATTTCAACTTCTCTAAGATTTAAAAGGGGATGTAAGAGCAGAGTACCCAGCTGCTCATCTGCCTGGGGGGTACTTCCATATGAAAAAGTGGTTTGCTTGTCTGAAAATTTGAATTAAACCCCTAAAGGAGACCAATCTAGGTGTGGCTCTAGCTGTATTTGACCCCTAAAAGTTACCACTTAAAACCGAATAGGCTCGATTACCACCCACTGTTCAGGAAAGGAGCCCACGATAGTAGATTGGACTCAAGAGATCATCAGAAATCGGGCCTAACAACAGAAATAAGAGCATTTTTAAGTGCACCCTAAAAGATACTTTGACAGCTAAAAATAGTGGCGTTTCGTCATGAACACCCTAAGTGAGATCAGAATCCTTGATTTCTACCCCTAAGTGAGACAACAAGTGTCCCTGACCTCTCATATGGGAGTCCATTACCCGGGCTTTTCTGCATCATACATATAGAAACTTACTACTGCTGCATGCCTTATTCCACCTAGCCTGCATCGCAGACACAACCTACCACGGGTTACTAGAGGTTATTTACAGGTGAATAATTTCCGTCTGCAACGCAGGCTAATTCCACCTTGTTCAACAAAGCTGTTGCATGCTAATACTACGATTATCAGTTGAGTAAGGCACAAAGGAAGTTTGGTCATGAAGTTTTGGCCTTAAAATTATGGTGTTGTCACGGGCAACTTACCTCGTTTCCGTTGGTAACAATATCAACAGCCGTGCATCGCCTACAATTTCGCATGCTTTGCTGCCGATGACGTCAAAGGCCAACAAGTTGCCAATGGATACAGAGCCAGTTGCTCGTGACAACAACACGATTTTTACGTTAAAACTTGGTGACCAAACTTTTGTCCCGCCTTACTCAACTGATAATCGTAGTAAGTACATCAGATGTATCACACAGACTGGAAAAAATTTAAAGAACTTAGGTTACTGAAAATAAATATTAATTGCATTCATTTTGCTATAAATTGATATGAATTTCCTTTGATGGAATGTTAGTTAATTCCAAACTGAATCGCGTCGTACACAGTCAGTTATCACAGGGCAATCAAGGCATTCCATAAAAAAGTCCTTGGCTTTCAGTTGATTGACAGTCCATGTTACCACATCGACACCTTGTCCATTCCACATTTCCAGCATGTCCCTGTCAAACGAAATGAGATACTAACTGTTCAACAAACTTTAAAGGTCTTTTTAGATTTAGGGGCAAGTCACAGGGACAATGTTCATGCATTAAAGTTCCTTCATGTAAACTGCCTGTCATACTAACTTGAATGTTGGTCTTCTGTTTCTGATTAGGAGCATTTTAAAAACAAATATTAATAACTAATAAAGCTGGCTTTCAAATAGAAAAGGTATTCTATCCAACCAAGTAAAATAGCAAAGTCCAAAAATAGGCTTTACCTTAAAGTTTGCTTTTTGACTTGAATTACAATATATAATTTGACAATATATTTTGAGAACTCAAGAGAGCAACTGCACTGACGTGGCATGTCTTACCTACACACATGTTCCTGAACTCTCGACCACATCTCCCATACTTCCATGCCTAGTTCTCACCCCCTCTCTCTCCCCTATTTTCTTACATGGTGGAATTCCTGTCATGACATCACTTACCCACACACATGTTCCTTTGCACATGAAAGAATAGGAACCCCAACAAAATCAAGAAACCAAGGTATCATTGATTCCCATATTCTATCAAAGAAACTCAGAACTGCTACTTTGATAGAACTGTCTATCTCAAATAGTTCCTTTCCTCCTGTTATTATGTAGCTCATGCTGTCCCGCCACCACACAAGGGCAGTCACAATGTTAGGATCCACCTTGCGTACCTGGAATTAAATATACATTCAAATAAATGCAGTTTATGGTAGCCCCCCAAACTACCAAACTTAGGGATGGTTATTTTAAGATATTATGACCCTCATTAAGTAAATGAATTTAAAAGCCCTTCCCTACTGCTACTTTCAGGGCTTCAACATTTTGGGTGGCTAACAATTATTATGTGCACTGCACAGTTGGCTTTTAGCCAGAATTTGAAAAGTGGCCATTCAAAATGTTCTATAGGGCTTGCTGAAATAAGCAATTTATAAGGCAAAATATGAAAAATAAAACATTTTTCTTTAAAAAGTGGCCATCCACAGGACGCCTCAACACCCATCTGACTAAATACCTGCTGCACAGGCTACTTTGTCTTACGACATGTATAATCATGTCAAATGTGTACACATACATATCACCAGCAGATGTGTGCAAGTAGAAAACTAGGCTTTCTTTAATTGGGAAATGATGGCTATTAATTGGCCAAATTTTATCTACATTGAAAGGAATTACTGGGTAACAATAGAAACAAATGTATTAAATAATGCTGTACCCGTCTTAGAAGCTGTTATTCCCCAATGCTATTTTTGAAAAAGTACCCTTCCTTCAAGAGGGTAAAAACGTGCGAGTTTGTATAACAACCAATGAACTTTTATTAAATTGTGCTCAAGAAATTTTTACCATGTTACCATGTGCTGAAGGAATTTTTACCGTGTATGAATAAAGTTATCAATCTAAAGTTGTCAATAAATTGCTACTGTAGGTACTTTTGAGTTACATCTTCTTTTAGGGCCGGGGTCATTGATTTTCGAATATTATTCTACTCTAAACAAAGTCATTTTTGACTAACTACAGACTTACCTGGTATATTACACCAGGAAAATAACAACAAACAAGAGCTTTGTCATGCAACTGATAACTTGAAAATAGATTCTTCAAATACTGTGCTGTCTGAATTAAATAAACAACAGTAATATTAAATGGTTTGAACCCAAGAGTATATATTATGTAGCGTGATCCTTTGGGAACAGGACAATCCCACTGGACAAACAACTATATTTTCCTAACACTGTCCTAACTATCAACTGAGAAGCTGTGGAAATCTTGCAAATTTCCCTGTGAAAAGCAAAAAGAGATCCAAAAATAATGACTGAGAATTTTGCACTGCCCAGTAAATTTCCTTTCTTTTAAGTTTTTATAGGTAAGAAAACAAAAACCTTATTTCCTTGGCAGGTATAAATTTGCAAAAAAGGTAACTTGAAATAAACACTTATCCCGGTGGGCCTTGGGAAACACTCTGCCTTAACAGGGTAACTCACCTCTAGTGCCTGAGTGCTTTTTTTTATTTCAATGATCATCTTCAACTCAAGACTTGAACAAAGTTCTACAACCTCTTCCAAGGTTGGGATTTTCTCCTTAGGAAACTTGTCTCTGCAGTGCAAAAGATAACAAAAAGTGATGACCTACATGGAGAAGTGTGACCGAGTGTTGATCACCAGTAACAACATAATTTAACAATGATGCATTTTTAATAATTAAATACTTATTATTTATTAAAAATGCATAGCCATGACATATTGCAATGTCAATTTCTCAGCTTTTATTCAGTAAGGCTATTATGTTAAGAGAAACCACCATATAACTTCAGAGGCATATATCTCCTGTCCAAATAGTATTAGCCTTTGTTACAGCCACCCTTCCCGCAAGAAAAAATAATGAGAGAATGTCTGTGTGTTACCATTGATAATCAGGTTCAAGACCATGTCATTTTTTCCTGTATATGTGGCAAAATGACCCCATTCATCACTAGTCGATCAACTGTTAGCAGTTTGATGAAGTGTAAATTATGTAGATTGTTGAACTTTATCCATTTCACTTACAAATACCTCGAGAGTTGGCTGTAGAGACCACAAAAAGGAACACACAAATGCTCTCTCCAACTTATTTTTTAAGGGAGGTCAACTGTAACACTGGCTAAATATTATGATCACAATATCTTATGGTTCCTCGTCACTGGCAATCACAATATTTTGTTCAACCTGATGCAATACTATTTCTTTAGGCAGCAGACATGACCAACAAAATTTTCAGTCTGAAATTGTATGTTAGCTAGTATGTCATCTTGTACTGTGAGAAAGTGGAGAGAAAGAAGCTGAAAGAGAACGTGAAATACTAATTTATTTGTTTCATAAGCCAATATATGAAGCCTGATTTGAACCTGTTTGACCGGTACCTACAGACGGAACCCACAAAACAAGTTAAGCTAATTTATCTGCTTTCCTTTCATACAATACCTACCAAAGTGCTTTTACAATGCATGTAAACCTTTTGTCGAATGGCTCGACTAAAAAAAATACCAATTCGTGACTATTTCGAAGTAGAAATCAAATATTCAACAACCTCCGTCCGTCCCATCAACCCAATATTGAAAAATTCATACGCTTTTACCCAGGTTTACCTCAGGCAATGTTTTGCTGATGCGTCTAATTTTCTGATTTCTTCGAGGATAAACTTACTCACAGGACCGCTTCCATCAGTGGTTCTGTCCACTGTGGAATCATGAATGACAACAGCTCTACCATCCTTCGTAAAATCCACGTCAAACTCGACGCCAGTGGCTCCGTTTTCTTTCGCTGTTCGAAAAGCCGCCAAAGTATTTTCTGGTGCCTCTGAAGATCCCCCTCTATGAGCAATAATAGCTGGTTTGTTCAAGTCTGATATGTCCTTCCTCAGAAAAGACTTAGCGAGATCCGCTTTAAGCTTAGGTAGGCGAAATTTTCGGTAGAGGAAACTTAAAAATGCTGGTAGGAAGAAAGCCAAACTAATACAATAAACCGCTACCGCCATCTTGGTGTCTGTTATAATTCTCGTCCCAGATCGCTACTCGTTCACAAATGGACCAATTGAATTGAGATACGAGAGGGGAGGGTTTTTCCCAGCTTATGCGTTGCTTTTCCCGCTACAGGGCGGCCATTCATTGGCTAGTAACAATGAAACTGTTCCCCACGAAATGCCATGAGCGGACAACATTGCGAAAACTATGACGTCAAACGGGAAACAGTTCACTGTTACCTGCGAAATGTTGACCGCTGTTGCACGTCATTTGTTTCCCACCGGTTTGACCCGGTTTGACTGGTCCCGATGGAAGCAGTAAATTTTGCTTCCCTCCAGTCTCAATGTTTCCCTCGACTTCTCGAGAAACAAAATTCACCGTTCCCACCGGAACCAGTCATTAAGTGTTAATTGTCACACAGTTTCGAATTCCACGTTGTTTACGCGGCTCTCTTTTGTTGTTTGTTGCTTTATTTCATGGAATGAAATGATACTGATATCAGAGGAATCGAAAACCAGTCAGCGAGAATAAGTTCCGGGTAATTCGCGTATTGCTTCAAAGTTTAGACCATGCTCTCGTGCTAGCCTGTACACAGGCTACGCTCATGCTAAAAATAAGATGTAAAATAAGTAAACAGAGTGCAAGAGTTCCAGTAACATTACGAATGCAATTTCATCTGGCCTGATACCCGATGTGATCTGACCCATGGTGGTATATAGACAGTGAGATATTCATCATGGACCTAACAATTAATTTTTCTGAGTTATATGCCTGTTTGCTTATTCGCAGAAAATGTGCTTTGGAGGTTAGTTTTTAATCCACTCATTGTCGTCTTTAGATTTTTCTGCGTGACTGAAACCCGCCACTTCAACGTTTTACTGATTAATTATCGCCTTTTTATTGTTAACGACAGAGAACCTACTGCAGCAAATGTTAAGAGTGGTTTCCTCCCCGTTATCAGGCTGAGATCAAGAAGCTAGAAAGGTTTAAACCGGGCGGTGAAAGTTTGATTTCTTTCCTAGCTCGAGAGTTCGGGCTACTCCCTGACAGAAATAAGGAACAACTTAATTTCCAGAATTTCAATGTTTAATCCACCTTTACTTAACTTACACGTTACATTCAATCTTCTTAGTAGTATATTTTTGCGTTTACATATGCCACTTAGATACCAGTGATTAATTTGCATACTCATTCGGGTAAGTTGTTTCGCTGCGAGAGAAACTTTCTGAAAAGTGGATAGAAGTTTGTAACCTTTATAAAGAGATTATGTGGGATTAGAGAAGGAATGCCTATTGGCTGTCTTATCTTTATGATAATTCCTCATCTTTCACCTCCCAGACTTAGGTGATTACTAAGCCTGGGAAGTATTCCTTCTCTTATTCTACATAGTACCCTATAGACTTACAATGTGTGTTTCAAATGCCATTGGCATATAAAAGTGGTTGTAACATACCATAAAATTCCGACACTTCCCCGGCCCTATATATATGTATTCCAAAAGTATTTTTAGAAGGCTTATTTTCCAGTGGGTTATTTGCTTCTGACAAATACCCGGGGAAGGGGTAGGCGGGGTGCTATTATCGAAAGAAGTTTAGTTCTTTGGCGAAGGCCTATTTTTTTAGCCCGCGTTGCAGGCCTTTTAACTCCCCCTCCCCCTCCCCCTCAGTGACATATCGGTATAACGGAAACAATTATAGACTGAATCGGCGGTTAAGTTTGCAAAGTCGGTTGTAAATAAATACCTATAGAACGTAAAATAATTTAAAAAGAAGGTCTTTGAATGTCGCAGCATATGAACATAATGTTTGTAATCTTATTTACAACTCAGTGGCATTTTCATGATATTTACAATCATATACAACTGCCATGTTAAAACAGTTGGTAAGAATTACCACTAACAACCATTTTGAAAGAAAAAAATCTTTGAAAAAGAGTATTTCGTTAAAAAATATTTACAATCATTTATACTGATTTATCCACGGTATTTTTGAAAAGTTTATTTAAAATTAATCATTTGAAAAATAATAAATGTTTTCAAAATCCTTGACATATCAATATTGGTATTTGGCAGGAATGTTTCCAATCATTCAAAAAGAATGAAATGAACTGGATTTGCGATAAACTTGAATGAAGTAAACTTATAAATAAATAGAATAGACTTGAGATAAAATTTACACTTGAGTGAACGAGAAAGCAGATCTGGAGAGAAAGGAAAATCACTGTTAATATCCTTTCCTATACCAGTCGATCAATTTGAAAGGAGACAGCGACAAAGCCAATGCAGTTAGTAGGTTTGGCAACTGAGCCGCACGTTAACTTTGTCTTGTGGGGAGGTGGGGTGGGGTGGGGGGGTTCATAAATAGGCAAGTTGTAATCCGCCAAGGCTCACAACTGAACTTGAATGAAAATACTTACTAGTATCCAAACCATTTATTGAAAGTCCTTCTGAAGAATCCCTGCTGTTCTGTAAAATAATAAAGTAACAAAGGAACATACATAACAGGCATTCATTGACATGTAGAAGCCAAATGACAATGACGACAAATCTGACAATACACAAATCTATAATAACCTTAAAGAATTCTGACAACAAGTCTCTAATAATCTTCTAAACTACTGACAACAAGTCTGTAATAATCTTATAGACTTCTGGACAAAACTGCTCTGTGTGGTCCACGAAGGTATGCAGTCAGATCGTTTTATGGTCAGATCGTCAGATCTCAGTTCGACAATATAGCCAGTTCATTCTAGTTATAATAAAGCTCAGTTAGATAAAGATCCTGAAAATAGTTAATAGAGCGCTCTGCGTGTGTAGATTATTTCGGGCCAAGAAAAAATTGTTTCCTCCTTTGATGAAAGTTAAACTCCAGTAAACATCATCCACTGCAAACTTTGCTTCACGAGTCACACTTCCAAGTTGTTTGTCTTCATTTTAAACTTTAAGTTAATTAGTCTATTGCACCGTCCACACTACCCTAGAGGAATTTGGAAAAGGAGGTTTCAATCTGAAACCTCCGTTTTTGCGTTTACATATGCCACTTCGATGTTAGTACTTGAGTTGCATACTCATTTGGGTAAGTTGTTTCGCTACGAGAGAAATTTATTGAAAAGTGGACAGAAGTTTGTACACTTTATAAAGAGGTTATGTGGGACTAGAGAAGGAATGTCCATTGGCTGTCTTATCTTTGTTATTATTCCTCATCTTTCAGCCCCGAGACTTAGGTGATTCCTAAGCCTGAGAAGTATTTCTTCTCTTACTCTACATAGCACCCTAAAGACTTCACTTATAATTTCACTCTGAAAACCCATCAAAAGTTTTCCGTCCACACTACGCCGGAGGAATTAAAAACGCAACAATCACCGGTCATTCTGGATTTGCGTTTGAGGAAAACTCGGGCAGAGAAAATCAAATTATTATGGTGACTACATCATTTTCTAAAAGCTCCGTTTTCAAAATGTTTTCCGTCCACGCGAAAACGAAAAGCGAGCGTTATCAAATTCCTCTGGTTTGGAGAGAGTTTTTGAAAAGCTCCGTTTTCGTGACGGATTAGTGTGGACGGTAGGCCTAACCGTAGAAATAAAGCTGCGTTTTCAAATTCCTCCGGCTTAGTGNGAGTTTTTGAAAAGCTCCGTTTTCGTGACGGATTAGTGTGGACGGTAGGCCTAACCGTAGAAATAAAGCTGCGTTTTCAAATTCCTCCGGCTTAGTGTAGACGCTGCCTTACTGGCTATAAAGAATGCTGTTTTTAATGAGAAAGAAGAAAAGAATGATTTTACAGATTGTTCCATGCGTCGTTATACAAACATACCGACATGAGGGAAGGGAGTGACGCTTTGAGCGAAGGCATTTGCCGGGTAAGTGTTCGCNAGACTTAGGTGATTCCTAAGCCTGAGAAGTATTTCTTCTCTTACTCTACATAGCACCCTAAAGACTTCACTTATAATTTCACTCTGAAAACCCATCAAAAGTTTTCCGTCCACACTACGCTGGAGGAATTAAAAACGCAACAATCACCGGTCATTCTGGATTTGTGTTTGAGGAAAACTCAGGCAGAGAAAATCAAATTATTATGGTGACTACATCATTTTCTGAAAGCTCCGTTTTCAAAATGTTTTCCGTCCACGCGAAAGCGAAAAGCGAGCGTTATCAAATTCCTCTGATTTGGAGAGAGTTTTTGAAATCTCCGTTTTCGTGGCGGATTAGTGTGGACGGTAGGCCTAACCGTAGAAATAAAGCTGCGTTTTCAAATTCCTCCTGCTTAGTGTAGACGCTGCCTTACTGGCTATAAAGAATGCTGTTTTTAATGAGAAAGAAGAAAAGAATGATTTTACAGATTGTTCCATGCGTCGTTATACAAACATACCGACATGAGGGAAGGGAGTGACGCTTTGAGCGAAGGCATTTGCCGGGTAAGTGTTCGCCATTTTGGATCCGTCAAGAACTGTGGTCACTGGAACAAACGGTAATGGACGATGGTGGATGTATCCATTGTCTAAACAAAACAAAACAATCGACAATTTACCTTTAAAAGAAATCTTCATTAGAACGCTAAGTTGAAGTACTTCACGGAGAATCGATTCACGTTTTGCCGGGAGGAAATAACATCCATTCTGAAACGCAGCGTCTCATTTTTCGTTGATATGAATTTTGTTTATTATTGTTGTTTGTTTTTGGTTTGCGCTTTTTGCTATTTCTGTTCCAATAAAGTTGATCGCAGTGTTGCAATTGGGCCATGCGCGCTTACGATGTATCGTGGTCGATGTTGTGCATACTTAACCTAAGCCGCGGTATAGTTAGGGTATAGTATTGTGTCGCTCTCCATACCTTTTGCTGCCTTGCTAAACGGGTTCACTGTCGTCGCTGTTTGAGAACCATCGACCGCCTTAGCTTTAACAGCTTTTCCAAGGAGTGGTCTGTTCTGGCCAGCTGGAGGTGTTACAGCAGCCTTCACAGGCACAAACAGAGGAGCCGGAGGATGTTGCAACTGACAAACTTTGCCTAAACGAAATAAAGATACCTAGGATTGTGCCAAGTGAAGCGCAAGGCTTGAAATTAAGAGTTAACAATAATATTTTGGTTTTCGAGTTGTTTTTGGCACAAATGAAGCAGTTAGCTATAGGTACATGTCATGATGTAATCTTCGAATCAAAAGTTAAATTATCGCTTTAAATGTAAAGTTTTGTGTGTCCTTCTCCGAACCTTTTGCTACCCTCCTAAACGGGTTAACTGACGTTGTTTGAACACCATCGGTGATCGCCTTAGCCTGAACAGCTTCTCTAAGGAATGGTATGTTCTGTCCAGCTGGAGGTGTTACACCAGCCTTCACAGGCACGAACAAATTTGGTGGTGGATGCTGCACCTGACGAACTTTGCCTGAAAGAAATCAAGATGTCTAGAATTGTACAAAGTAAAGCGCAATGCTTAAAATTAAGAGTGGAAATTATGTTAAGATTATACCTGCACATGAAAACATTTCGGTTTAAGTTTGTTTCTAAGTTTTTTGTTTGGATTAATTTGCGGAAACAAGGGATACCTCTACTATTAACAGAAACTTTTGGAGAGAAACAAAATAGTAGAATTTATTAATGGGGAACAAGAGAAAGATCAGGAAAGATCAGAGAAATGCGGCGACGTACTCAGAAAAGAAAAGTCGGAGTGAAATCGCGCATGCCTAAACGCCCACTGACAAGGCTCACTGCAATGCTAAAAACGTTTTCGATACATGCACATCTTAATCCTGTACCATGCATACTAGTTATGTTTGTTGCACAATAAATTTCGCGTGCTCCCATACCTTTAACCATCCTGAAAGGATTTATCTGGGTAGAAATGGCATGGTCGGTCTTCTTAGAATCAGCAGAGTCCTTTCTTGAGACTGGAATGACTTCAGCCCTGTTAGAGTTTGCCACAGGAACAGGAGGTGGTTGATTTTTCAACGGAAAGCCTTCGGATATGAAAATAGAATGTATTATGTTAATAGAAATTCAGTTTATATTGATCACAACTGCTTTGGTAATGCATGCTCGTAAGAAGGACTCGAAGTCCAAGAATTGGTCTAAAGTCCGCTTTAGAGATATACATCTTAAAATTTCACCTGAACGTGTAGACTTAAGTAAGTAAAGCCTAAAACTTTCTTAGGGGTAGGGTTAGTATTTTGCGCAGATACTTACACATGAAAATATTTCGGTTTTCGGTTTTATTTGGGCAGAAATGAATCAGTCAGGCAATCTTTGAATCAAAAAACTGTATTAACCTTGAGGGTATAGTATTGTGTCGGTCTCCATACCTTTTGGATTCACCGGCGTTGTTTGAATACTAGCGACCGCCATAACCGCTTCGACACCTTCTCCAGGGAGTGGTTTGTAATGTCCAGCTGGAGGTGTTACAGCAGACTTCACAAGCATAAACAGAGGTGGTGGTAATTGCTGCAACTGACAAACGTTGCCTGAAAGAATCACAGGGCCATAAAATGTTGATCTACATTACTAAAACATTCACAGTTGCATAATGCTGCAAACGGTATGTAAATTATAAGGAATAATATACTGAGAAGTTGTTTAATAGTGCAATGGTGTTCACTGCAATGCTGCTAAATTAAAGACTCCTGCCTAACCTTAATCACGTAACACACGATTAGCGACACTATATGTGACATGAGTGAGGCGCGGTGGCCTCGTGGTCAGTGCACT